TGTGTGAGTGCTACATGCCCCCTGGGTGGGGGTAGCCTGCCTACAATATAAGGGAGGAAAAGAGGTTAGCTCCCATCCCCCTTTTGCTCTTGCTGCTTTTGCTGTGCTGTGCCACCTTGAAGTGTTTCCCCTGTGCCATGCTGCTCTGCCTTGGAGCCAGCCAAATATGGACTGACACCTCCACAAACTGTAAGCTAAGTAAACCTTTCCTCCCTTAATTTTGGGCGTCAGGTATTTTATCTTAGCAAGGAGAGAAAAATAACCAAGACACCTTCAAAAGCTCATGTGCTCATAAATAGCATTTTCAGAGGTGGCTGCTTCTAGGATGTGATTTTGAGACTAAGCATGTGTGATACTAGATTAGTCTTGTAACTGGTGTAACATAGTTCACTAGTAACTATGGATAATGGGAAGGCCCACCCTGTCTGAGTGGTACCACCCAAAAGCTTATAGCCTGGAATGGATAAAAGAAAAAGGGAGGCTTGCTGCTTCCTTCATGCCTCCCCATGGGCTGTTTCTCCTCTGCCATGCCCTTTTGCCACACTGCCCTGCTTTGGAGTCAGTTGACTATGGAATGAATCCTGTGCAAGCTGTGAACTGAAAGAAACCTCTTTAACTTGTGAGCATCAGATTTTTTTTCCCCAGGAATGAAAAAGCTAGGCTGTGTATTGCAGAAAACACAAGGTAAAAGAAAATGCAAGGTATTAGAGCATATTCTAGGATGTTAACTTTGACATGCATTCCCATGTCACTGAATTTTCTAGTTTTCTTCAGCCCTTCAGTTATTCCTCCCCTAGAGTTGAAGCTTTCTGTATATCTTTTAAAAATTTTTCTAAATGTTCCTTGGGTTTGAGCCAAGTCCTTCTATAGGGTAGGCAAGCACCGTACCACTAAGCCACATCCCCACCTCCTCCATCTATACTTTAATCATATGCCAAGGGTTTTATTTGTAGCCTGATTTTCTCACTTGTCTTAGTTACTTTTCTCTCTTTGCTGAGACAAAATACCTGACACCCAATATTAAGGAAGGAAAGGTTTATTTAGCTCAGTTTGTGAGGTTTCAGTCCATACTTGTCTGGCTCCAAGGCAGGATGGCACATGGCCAAGAGCAGCAGTACATGGCAGCAGAAAACAGCAAAAGCAGCAAGAGTAGAAGGGAGGAGTGCCAGCAAGCAGCCTCTTTCCCTCCCTTACACTGTATGCAAACTACCCACCCCAGGGCAGGTGTAGCACTCACACCCATAATCCCAACATTTGACCATGAATCAATCATAAACTCTAGAAGCGCCCCCATGACTGCATGAGGCTTTGGGGGAACATCCAGACACAAACCATAACATCACTAAAGCAGAACTCAAAGCTCATCTTCCCAGTTAAGGTGAGCAACTCCTCAGGCAACCCCTCCCTCAGGATAGCAGACTTACGCTTTCTCACTAGGTTCTGTACTTTTCTCACTGATAAGGGAGACATTTGGGCAGTTCTCTCATGGGAATCTCTGACCTTACAAGGGCAATATTGGGTACCAACACCGATAAAACTAATAAATGGTGTTACAAAAAGCTTCACAGAATCCTAACATCCTGAGATGCACAACATGTGTTACCTTTAAAGACTAAGAAAGGGTTAACCACTCGAATGACTGCCTTTTTTTTACATCTGTATCTCTACTTGCTTGATGTCACAAATTGTATAAAAGGGGACCTTTCCTTGGTTTAGGACCTAGCCTAGTTTTGAGCATTTCTTTTTTTTAAAAAATTTTATTTTAAAGCGGGGTGGGGGGGGAGTAAAACAAAATTTCAAAACAAGATTAACAACAGAGTAACAATGGTTAATACATGGTGTATTGTTATCTTTAAATTAGTTACTCGTAGTACAAAATGTAGGCATTTAGTTGTCCAAACAATATTAGCACAACCCTTCTTTTCAATGAACTAAGAGAAATTAGTATAATGATTTTAACTATCTTGTGTATCTTTGCTTTTCCCTTTTCTAATTTCCCCCATCCTAATTTCTCTTTCCTTTTGAATAGTTTCTT